TAGGAAACAAAACTTCAAGAACACGGCCACACAGCCCGGAAGACCCACACCAGCCAATTTAGAATTGACTTAACTGATTGCCTTAAAACCTTTAAAAGAGTATTTAGCTGATTCCATAGAAGCTGCAACCTTATGAGCTACTATCAGAACTGTGTTAGTATTAGCACTTTCAACAAACTACATTTCCCAGAATTCAACAGGGAAGTCATGACAGCTTAGCCAGTAAAATACATGTTTAAATTGATATTGTGCTCAAACAGCAACTACTCAGTGAGTAGACAGCTTTAATGTTGTGATTACCCAGAAGGATGTTTGGGAAAATGTAGTTAAGCTGTCCATTGCCATTGTGAATGCAGTGTGAAAATATAACTGTGTAAGTGACATAAAAGTGTCAGTAGTGAGAATAACAATAGCTCCTTTCCTCTCATTTGCATTTTGAATAGTTCAGTTCAAATCTGATTGTAAACACATATTTTTCATTGTACCTCTCTTCTATACTGTTCAAGTATAGGAGCATGTATATAATCCTTAAAAATTGCAGACACTTGCAAGGTTATGCTTGATTATTTTCACAAACATTGTCTGATATTTTCAGAGTATTGTATATGCTTTTAGTTCTCTGTGCTGGCAACCACATCTTTCTTTATTTCAATGAATGAAAGACTAATCTCCCTTTCCTTTCTTCCATGCACCTACAGAGTAAGCTTACCATCAATATGAGTATATTGCTAGGAAAAAGCCTATGTTGTTCTATTATTTGGAAAAATATAACATTGGTACCTTTTGAACTAAATTACATCTGGCCACTGACAATTTGGTTCCTCAAGTAGAAGATTAAAACAGCAACTTATTCATAATACAACAACTCTGAATATCATCATCATCATCATCATCTCCATCACCACCCCTACCATCCTCCTCTTACGATGCCCTAAATCTGAGATCTGAGATTTTTTCATGGCAGATCAGTCCTAGGCTGTCCTCTGGTCAAGATAAGGAGCAACTTCATCTTACCTTCCCAATTAAGGCAGCAAATTGATTATTGAGTGTCTTGATCTCCTCTTTCTCCTTGGTCCTTATTTCCTGGAGAGCTGGGTCAATGTCCAGGTGGAGTGGAGCCAAGAGGTGTTTGTTGACAGACACCCTTGGGTAGGTATAATGGTAGCCATGTCCTGTGAGGCTGGAGGAACTGAAGTTTTTCTTGCTGGCTTCCCCCAAGTTAGGACTGCTACAGGCCTCATCCCTTGTAGAATGAGAAGAAGAACACTGTCTTCTCCAACTATAAGAGGCTTCTGGGGAAGTAAGGGAGCCAGCACTGAAGTTCCCTGAATGACTTGTCATGGTTTCAATGAGGGAACCCAAGGAAGCACTAGGCCAGCTAGCAGCTACCGAGAGAGGAGAAGCAGGTTGGGGAGCAGCAGCGTAAATTAATTCCTGTCTCTGCTGAGCTCGGTTTAGCTAATGAATTACAAACACCTGTTCTCCTATGCTCATAAAGTCAGGAGGGTGTGACTGTTGATGTAATCCAGATCAACCTGTTGGCTTTGTCTCTCCCTCCTTCCCCTCCCACCTTTTGTAGTTTTGTTTGTGAGGTGAGTGCACATGCACAGATGCTTGTAGGAAGAGAGGGAGGAAAAAAAAACCCAAACCCAAAATTACTCCCTTGCCTCCATCTACTTGCTTCCTGAGGACAGGAAGTAAGGGGAGGCTTCCTCAACCTTAATGGCAAACAAGAGGCTTGAACAGAGACACCGTCTTGGATGAACCTCAAGAGCAGAAAGCCTTAGAGAGTTGAACACATCAAAACATTCAGGGCCTGCTTCTTCTCCAGCAACTGTACTGATCATTTCTATAGTAAAATGGCAATTAAAGATTTTGCACACTCAATTCATTCAGTTTCAGGCAGTTTGAATACTAAGACAGATCATAGGCACTTTCTGCCTGGATTGTCTAATCAAAGCTTCTTGATTAAGCTGCAAAGTAAACAAAATTATTTCCAACCTATGCTTATAGGAAGTGTGGAGAAAGTAATGCATTTAATCACCTAAGTAGTTAGGCTGTAGCTAAAGATGCTTGAATAATTCAGGGTTCATAATTCCTAATAAGAACTGAGAGTATTCATATTTCCCACAGAGTTGTTCAGACTGAGCCATCCCTCAGATTTTCAGGTGGAGTATATTTTTAAGGCAGTCTGACTTCATTAGAAAGATTACATGATATTTGTGGGTGGAGAGGGCTTAAAAGTAAACAAAAGAGGAAGCATGATAGAACAAGTAAGCTATTACAAGGGAAAGATAGATGAAAAAATAGAGTTCTGTCCATTCCTACATTTGTCATAGGAAGAACAGTTTTGTGACATTCTTAGACAAGGGTAGGATAGTCCACTCTGCTTTTTGTGTTTTGTGGTGTGTTGCATGTTGCTAGTTTAATAAACTAGAGACATTTCAGATGAGATGCAAGTATTGTAACCTACTCCCACAATAAATTTCTTAATTTTTTACTTTGGATTTGGTCTCAGTTGCTCAAAAAAGTGGTCAGCTCAAAAACTTATTAGGAATCAGACAGTTCTGTATTTTTTTTGGGGGGGAGGAATAGATAATTTCCATCTTGTGCTTGTAGGGCCAATGACCACAATCTGATGCACAGAGCATTCATATTTCCTACAGAGATGTTCAAATCCAAATATGAACGGGATGCACAGTTACACATGCATAACATCCCGCTGAGATTAATCTGATTTAAATGTGCCTAATTTTACTGAATTTTAATCCTTATTTAAGGATACTTGCAGATGAGTTTTAACATGCAAAAATTCTGCTCCTTCACAGAATTTTAGAGGGCATATTTCCAGACACTGCCTTATACATGTAGTCCCTAGTTTAAGAACGAGTTCTGTTCCCATGGTCTGTCCGTAAGTTGAATTTGTATGTAAGCTGGAACAGTACTATTGTATAATACTTACAATACTGTACTGTAAGTAATATTGTGTAATTAACTCAAACCATTGTGTACTTAACTCAAATCATTGTGTATTTAACTCAAATTTTGCTACAATAGGCTCCTGTGGGTCCATTAACTGTGGGTCATCTGTAATCTGGGCGTTCTTAACCCAGGGACTACCTGTATTTGTAATCTTCATACATTTTTCCACCATTTTTTCATTTTTTTCTTACCACAATATAGGATTGGTAGTATATAGAAGTGTTTACCAGAAAGCACCTAAACTGAGCGATCCTAAGCTTAGATCAAAGTGTTGTCAATATGCCAATAAAATCATAAAGCCTGACTGGGATTGGTTCAGAACAGCAGGAAAAGTAAATATGTAGATGCTGTTCTTGATTTTTTTCCATTTAATCTGTCTCCCCCATTGCGCTCAATAGGAATAAATTTAGATCAATTTCTGAGGTAATCTATTCTGATTTGATTTGACTGCATCTGGGATCCTGAATCTTATCTAGCCTGTCTCTGCCACTCTCCCTTTTGGGGTTTTCTGTAATTGGGATTTCATTACCTTCTAAAAATCTGACCTCTAAAGATGCACTGCACCTTAAAGTATTGTCCATCCAAAGTGGAGAAGTGACATGAAATGCTGGCCTCCATGAAATGAAAATTTCTTGAAGATTCTTGAAGGCACAGTTGATTACATGAATATTAGACAGAATTAGTTATAGGCTATGTGAGAAGTTAATCTGATTTCTATCTGGTCCTTTGCATTTATATAACATGTAATTATCTGTTTACCTTTACTTAATTACTATGATATATAGGGGAGAATATCTGCCAAGCCTTATGAAGTGGCTAACAGAAATTTAAGGGGAAAACAACTATTAAATACTTTGTTGAGGGTAGTGAATGAAACCTCTTCTTTCTGGATTAGTAGGTATTAAAAAGACTGGTTTAAAATCCACAGAACGGCATTTGTGAGTTTTTGAAAAAAAAAATCAATTGGCCTCAATTGTTGTTATGATAAATATATACCCTGATAGTAATATCACTGCACTTCTGAAACCTGGTGTCTTACACTGGTGAGAAAGGCTTCATACCTTCTATGCATTCTTTTGCCAGTTGTGTCTCACAATTTCCTTTTCCTGAAATCTAGATGTTATGGGCTGTTGTTCTGTATTAACTGACATGGGGAGAAGACGTTCTGCTGGAACCTTAATTGTATATCTGTTTATATTCTTTTTGTTTCTGTATCTCCCACTCAAAATTAATAACTGATGGGACACCATGGGCTTTCCTCAATGCCTTCTTGTCCTTACCAGATGCTTGAAGCTCTGTGGCAATCTTGGCAATTCAGCAATATATAGCTTTATAAAATTAGCAGTTCTTCACGCTACTCGTTTTTCTACTTAGTCAAAACAAAATGTTGATGGTATTTTCTCTCCTACCAGCCTGAACGTGCCAAATCAGAAGAAAGGGATTACCTTTCTCTTAAAAAATGCATGGTCCAAAGCTGATCTGATTATAATTAATAAATTGTAATTGATATAAAGATCTGGATTAAGTTTGATTTTGGTACACAAGTCATGATTAGACATCAGCTCAACTCTGCTGTTCTGTGGCTTGTCATCATGAAGCATTACAGACAGACATGTAAACATTAAAGCCAGTAGACCATTCTGGTCAGGTCTCTGGTCTCATAATGACACCTTGAAACTGGTTACACCAAGGATAACTGCTCCCTGGTGAAGGAGCAATGTTTTGGCTTCGGTTTCGGCTTTTTACTGGTTTGATCTCTAGATGAAATAAGGAGAGTGGGATGTTCTCCAAGAAAGGTTGGTGAAATTAATCACAGCTGGCAAAAAACAGTGCACTGAGAGGATTATTTGATGAGAAAATAGTTCTAAAAAGCTGTTTTAAGCTGCTTTCACAGAGAAGTTTAGAAAGGTAAGAAGAAGTATGATGCTAATGCGGCCAAGCATAATACGTAATGCCTCTAGTCCTTCACTAGTTTCTGTATCTCCTAATTAGGATATGAAATTGCAGCAGACCTAGCATAAGTAATCTACTCAAGACCCCAATATAGAGATCCCTCAGTTTTAATAACTATTTCTTACCACTAAAGGAAAAAGTATAAGAAAAATAAAAATATGAATTTAAAAGCAAAAATAGTTATTGGAGATAGCTGCACAATCTACCTATCTGGCCCTCTATGAAATGGCCACCGCATGGTCCCTGTTCCTTGAACTGGCAGAAAGTTAGCAATTAGTCGTCTGTCTCTATCAGAACTATCATACTGAACACTGCCACCAACTTTTGGTCTCTGGGCTTTCACTGCATCATTCCCCCTTTCTTTACTATAAACCTCCCATTTTCCCCTATCAGTTTCATGCTTCAAAATCTTCAGTTCTAGGTCTCCATTAGCTTCTTCTCTGAAGGAAAGGAGGTCCCAAGAGACCACCAATACGGGCTATGTTTATTTTTCCACCTTCCATGACAAACCCTAACTGCCACCGCCCCCCATTTTCCTTAAAGAGAGCTATTTCCCTTGTTTTCCATTCTTGGCTTTGCTCTTCATTCTTCTAACATGCCTTTTCATGCAGGATAATGTTCCAGGAGAAGGTAGGTCCCCGTGTTATAGAATATTGAGATAGGGACGTAGTCAACGTTTTCATTCAGAGATCCTGGCAAGGTAACCAAGATGGCAAGTCCTAGGCTATTCCCAGCCTCATTCAACTAAAGCTGTTCATATGCTAAACCTCCGTACCATATTTCACTTCCTCTAACCATATGAAGTCCCTCTAGCATTTCATCAGAGAACATCATACTCGCAATGCATCTATTATGTGAGAAATGGCCACTCATGGACAGGAGTATAAATCAGGTTTTCTGGAGCCCCGAGCAAACATCTCTGTTGAGGGCCCCCATTCCCGACAGCTAAATTCAGTGTCAAGTTTTCTTTGGCGTTATGAATGCACTTTTCATCTCCTTCATGTTATATTCTACTACTACCAGTATCACTGCTCTGGAATCTGTCTTTGCTGGGAGTTGGATGGCCTTATAAATCTAAATTATAAACAAGCAAATGATAAATATTGTGCACAGAGCATAGGGGGACTTGAAATAGCAAAAACGTCAAAAAGCATATGCTTGATTTTTTTTATAATACTCTCATAGAATTGCCTTCTATAGCCCTGTTTCCAGTCTTCCCATTCTTTCATCAAGGCCTTAAGGCAATGCTGTTTACTCAAGACTTCAGAAAATGTTGCAAGTTGACAGAAAGATATAGAATCATACATACATTTGGAATGAACCTTGCTTATACTTAAGCAAAATATTCTGTGGGAGGAGAAGTGGTTGTATTACGCGTGAGAGACATGGAATTTCCTGCTTTTTTTTCCCTTTTGTTGTGATGGCGTGGGAGTGATACCTTCTTTAAAGGGTGTTTTCCCACCTTTCCTGTTTACACTTCCACCATCTCTACCTTTGCCAAATA